TGCATGGGGGAGGGGGAGCGCAGGGGAGCAGGCTGCCTGCCCCGGGAACAGACTCATCCGCATCTGGCAGGAAGGGCTGCCGGTACCAAAGTAAACAGGTGGCACTTTTAAGCAAAAACGCTCCGGCCTTCTTCCTAACGCCTGCTTTTTGGTGAAGCTTGAAGCTAATTATCCTCATCTTGAGCTATGTTTTCTGCCCTGGCCAGGTCCGCCTGATTGAATGTGGACGCCCTTCAGCCTTGGGGAGCGGCGCATCTGGAAGAAGGTCTTTGACAGTGACGAGTCCTTGATGGAGACTTCTCTCTAATATGTACAGTGACTTGTATTTACACAGTGTTTTTACGTGCATTTAAGTGCATATGTTATTTAATTCCCAGAGGAAAAGTAACTACTGTGTCAGACTGTCATTTCTATTTAAGAAATAGACTGTTATTTACCTTACGGTCATAAGGAGCTTATTAAAAGAGGACTTTCCAGTGCTCATGTTCTAGTCACAGACATTCTGACCCTCTCATCTTCTCACCTGTCAGAACAAACTGTGTTTTTTAAAAGTTATATTTTTATTGATTTCAGAGATGAAGGGGGAGAGAGAGAGAGAGAGAGAGAGAGAGAAACATGTATGATGAGAGAGAATCCTTCATTGCCTGCCTCCTGCATACGCCACACTGGGGATTAAGCCCACAACCCAGGCGTGTGCCCTGACTGGGAACTGAACTGTGACCTCTTGGTTTCTAGGTCAACACTCAACCACTGAGCCATCCTGGCTGGGCAGATCAAACTGTGTTTTGACAACAGGATTCAAAGGCCAAATGCAAAGAATGTTAATGTCTACGCTTCTTTAAAACATTTTTTTGGTATAGTACGATATTGTATGGCAGTGAGAATCATTATATATTTCAACTTATGAACCATGATGTAGCTGGATCAAATGTAAGTTCTGATGCAGGCTCAGATGTGTTCCAAGATGCCTTAAGGAGACTTGTCTGTAAGGGGGCCAGGCTGTTAGAATGCCAGGAGCAAACATATTTCTAAAGATCTGAAGAACAGTGCTGGATGGTGACAGAGGCAAGTTGCCAGGAAATCTGTGGACTGGAAGGACTGTCCAGGCTTCACCCTGCTGATGCGAAGATAAGGGGTGCAGCCACCGACTTCGGTTTCTTTCATCTCTCTGCCAGTGGGAACAATTATAGCCTTTCAGCTACACGTTTTTCCATCCGAGAAGCAAGATCAGAGGCTTAAGAAGATTATTTATTTTTGAGGGCTCCTTAGTCCCAATCTACTTTAAATCATTATAACTGCCCCAGGGCCTTTGCACTAGCTGTTCTCTGCCTTGACCATGCCATCACCAGCTTTATGTTTGCTCCTTCTCTTCATTCAGGCCTCAGTTTAAATGTGAACACCCAGAGAAAACTTCTCAATAAACTCTATAAAAAATTCTATAATAACTCTCTCCATTGCATTCTAGCCCCTTACTCTTCTATTTTGCCTCATCTGAAATTATATTGTGTGTTTGTTTACTATCTGGTTTCCCCAGTAAAACGTAAACTCCATGCGGGTGAAGATTCACCAGCTCACTATTTCTTTAGTTCCCCCCTGGTGCCTGGCACATGGAAGGGGCTGAATAGGTGATGAATGAATGATTACACGATGAGTGATTAAAGCTGGAGCCACACCCATACCTCCTTTGACTTTAAGAAACGGTTAGGGCTAAGTTAGAAAAGTTTGCTCCATTGACTCACAGGGATAACCCAGAGTCAGCGGAGCACTTATAACTGACAGCAGGGTTTGTCTTTCTCCTCTGCTCCACCGTCAACTCCTTGAGAGCGGGGACCTGCGTCCGGTTCACCACTACACGCCTGCTACCTCACACTATGCAAGAACAAAGTCCCCAATTCATCTCTTGAATATGATTAAAATATGAAAGGTGAGTAGCGGTTAGCCAGGTGAGGAAAGGAAAGAAGATGGTTCCTAGCAGAGGGAAGAGCATGGCGGAGGCCTCTGACCTTGATACAAGGATCAGCCTGAAGAAGCGAGTGTGGCTGGGATGGAGAGAGAAGGCAGGGTGGGGACCACGTGTGGCTGTAGAGGTGGGGGGCGAGGGTCTGCCACACTGGATTTTACAGGTTTCTGGACATGGCAGGGAAAATAAAAAAGTTTTATCTTTAACCCAAGAGCAATGGGGATCATATCTGTCACACCACAAATCTCTGGTTGCCGTGGGTGTCGGGAGACTGTTAGGCGGCCGCTCTGACCCAGACTAGAGAGTTGGGGGTTGGACTGAGAGTCTCTAGAGAGTAAGTGGAGACAGATCTCTTTCATTGCCAGCACCCAGCATGCCTGGCACCTATTCGTTTCTCAACAAACGTTTGTTTAAGAGTGGTTGGATGGAGGAACAGAGTGGTGCAGGAGATTGCTAGGGGTTGAAATGAACAGGACATGGTGAGGGACTGGCTACGGAGAGAGAAAGGGAGAAATGTCAGGCCAGCTCCTAGGTTTCTGGTTTTGTGTTACTACCTGGATGGAGGAGTATTGCCATTTCCCGTGACAGGAAGTAGCAGAAGCATCTGCATTTTGTGTGTCTCTGGTTCTCTGTTAAACCAAGAGTCAGCCCAGCCAGTGTTGCTCAGTGGTTGAGCGTCGACCTATGAACCGGGAGGTCAGGGTTTGATTCCCAGTTGGGGCACATGCCCAGGTTGTGGACTCCATCCCCAGTAGGGGGCGTGCAGGAGGCAGCCGATCAATGATTCTCTCTCATCATTGATGTTTCTATCTCTCTCTTCCTCTCCCTTCCTTCTAAAGTCTCTCTCTCTCTCTATATATATATTTTAAACAACAGTCAGGGCTTCCTTTCCGCCTCCCGCAGGAGGCTCCACTCAAGGCGGCTTCTGCTCACCCTCTTGCTGGTGCCTAGCCGAGGGAGTGGTCTGGAGGCAAGAGCAGAGGAACTCTTGAACCTCCGAAGGCTCCCAAGCACTTGAAGGGTTTATATTCTCATATATGAGGTCAGTGGACTGCGAGGAAGATTGCGGGTCAGGATAAGATGAGGGGTAAATGGTCGCTCTCAACATGGTCTAAGCAGCCTCAATAACAAGGGGCTTGTTATTGCGAAGCTAGACATTCTGCCCTGCCCTCGTCTCCAAAACCTGGGCCAGTGGCTCTAAATAAAGACGATGAGTTTGTGGGATACATAAGTTTGGTCAGTTATTTTCTTTATGGGTTTAAGCAACTAGTTTTTGAGTGATCTTTCATGGGAAAAAGTATCTTCTCAATCCAGATGTGAGTGAAGGCTCACCGAGTCACTCCCAATTACACTGCTCAGACCTTTTCAAATGTTCATGTCAGGGATGCCCTGATTTTGTATAAATAAGGTCTATTTTACGTGTAAACATAGATGAATTAAAAGATAGGTGGAGGGAGGGTGGTCAGACTGGTGACAGATCCAGTGTAAGATTGTGTATCTTTATGTAAATAATTTATCCAAAGGAAAGATGGTTGAAAGTGTGTGTGTGTGTGTGTGTGAGAGAGAGAGAGAGAGAGAGAGAGAGAGAGAGAGAGATGGTGATTTCTGGTTAGTGGGATTGTGACTGATTTTAACTTCCATCTTTTAATTTGATTACAGATTAGATTACACATTTACCTAAGAGGTATGAGAAGGAGGAAAAGAAAAATCCCCTACTAGGAAAATAAACAACAACTCCTACCATCTCTGTGAACCGGTCTGCACAGGCCATCCGGACCCACTCAGGGGTTGCTGGGCTCTTCACTGTGAAGTCTTCGGCTGTGTCTCTCTCTCTGCGTGCGGCGGCCACAGCATCAGTGATGGCAAAGAATACAGATGACCCCAGGAACATTCCGGACTCCCCCAGGCCCTGCAAGAGAGCACATTTGTTTTAGAAGCGTCTACACCGAACTATACGTCGATAGAAGTCAGGGGGGATTATGGGGAAATAGAGATACCCATGTCCTGTCTAAAGGAGGCCGCTGTTCTTCAGTTCTAGCTAACTGCTGCCTTCCAGAAATGCAGCCCAAATGATCAGATCATCCCATTTTTCAAGATAATTTCGATATTTGTATTTTCATGTAAAATTCCCTGACTTGCCCAGCCAGCGTGGCTCAGTGGTTGAGTGTCGACCTATGAACTGGGAGGTCATGGTTAGATTCTCCGTCAGAGCACATGCCTGAGTTGCAAGCTCAATGCCCTGTGTAGGGTGTGCAGGAGGCAGCCAATCATCATTGCTGTTTCTATCTCTCTCTCCCTCTCTGAAATCAACAAAAATACATTAAAAATAAATAAAATTTCATGACTTTAAAAAGCACCGTGTAGGACAAGGAAAACACATCTGCAGGCTAGATTTGGCCAATGGCCCCATTTGCAACCCCTGAGCTGGAGAAACTGAATCTGAGTCCCTTTCCCTTTATCAGTGAGATGCAGGCAATGACACGTACCTCTCAGGGTGTGGTGACATTCAGGTAGCACAAAAGCACAGCACCTGGTACCTGGTAGGTCCCTGCTGTTAGTACACTTCCCGGTCTGCCTGTGCGGGGCTGGCCACAACCACAGGAACCAAGGGTCCTGCTTGCCCTGAGAGCTGCTCTCTGTGGGCTCTGAGCATCCTTTTGCCTTTCCCCCTCAGAGTGATTTCCAGCCCAAAGAGAATCCAAAGGCCTGTTGATTGGCCTTCCTTTCAAAATTGCCCCTCCCTGTTGC